TATATTTGGTAATCGTGCTGAATGATTCACAGGTCACTAACCGCTTTACTGTGTCTCCCTCCTTTAGTGCTCTTCCATGCAAAGTGTTCATTAGCAGGCCAACCTTTTACTTTGAATTACATTACAGCTCAGTTCACTGCTCGCCTGCAGCTCTAAGTGAAGGAGTGAGTTGGATCATTAGTCATTGTGCCATAGCACGCTGCCAAGGTACTCAGTCGTTCAGCTAAGCTGCTAATACTAGCCAGCCGATTGGTCAGCATCCATCCATCCAGTCAGTGACCCCATCAGCCTGCAGGTGCTGAGCTACCTGAGCTGCAACTGGACCTGAGTGATGAGACAGACTGGAAACCATCTGCTTCGTTTTAAGTCACTCTTCTTCTGTGTCCACCTTTCATTTGTTCTTTAGTAGATTTAGTCGATGTTTTCTATTCTTCTGGTCTCCACTGTTCATACTTAACTTCCTCTGTAACATAAATATTGTCTTATTTTGCAATTATACTTACTGTACCTCAGTCTGTACCATAATCTGGTCACTTTCTCCTCCTCTGCAAACTACAGTGCATGACATCTGCATATTCATTCATAAATAAACCGGATGCAGTTATGATGTCATGATGATCTGGTTTGGAGGTTTTCAGTTAGAACTTCTTTTACACGCGACGTTTTTGCTAACATGGACGCTATTTTGTCAGCAGGTGTTCCTCTCTGGTGCTTCAGAGGATTTGTAATTTTACAGCTTTTCATATTTTCACCTGTCGAATAACCTTTTAATTAACTTATCCGTTGATTATCTTTGTGTGTGGGGCTGTGCAGTTTTTCCATTGATTTTTCTTGTAAAACGGTTGGACTTTAAAACTTCTATCGAAGATTGTTTCACCTTCACAGTCTCATACACTGCTGTGTGTGTGTGTGTGTATGTGTGTGTGTGTGTGTGGTGATATCGACAGGCTGCTGCCTGCGGCTTTCTTTGTTATTACTGTAGCCAATAGAAAGCCTGTCCACATGCCACCTGCAGCCTAGCTTACTCTATATATTAGCTTGTGTTTACAGAGTTGTGTAACCGGTGGATCTGACAGAAGAGCTGCTTTATCCAGCAAACCTACATTTCTCTTTGTTCCACTTGAAATGACCTTTTTCATTTTGCTGTTTTGAACATGACAGACAGAGTTGAGCTCAGTCAAATATTTATGGAACAAGTCCGACTCTCTGAATGTATCCGAAACCTGTTTATTATTATTATTGTCACACTGAGGAGCTCCATAGTTTCCTGCTTCATTCCTGGGAGAGATAATAATTCCTTTGGGGTCATGTCAGGAAGGGCATCCAGCATAAAAACAGCTGTCAAATCAAACATGCAGTGCTACCCGCTGATGAATAAAGGCTGTCTGAGGATTTGAACATCATTTCAGTAACGACCTGATGATGAATTTAAAGCAGTGTTTAGAACATGCGCTGCAGATGTGAGCGCACGTGTGCACGTGTGCAGTAACTGGCCTTCGGCTGCATTTAAGCTCTGTCAGGTGTTGGGTAGCCTGCTGTGAATGAGGCAGAGGATCATATGAGACGGAGCATCAATGCTGATTGAATTGGCTGGTCCTGAAAAAGACATGCAGGGTTTTGTCAGACAGTGGAGAGACAGGAGGAAGCTGTTGATCTAATTGTAGCTCTGAATGGACGTCTGTTTGCCTCGTCGCTGATGAACCTGTAAAGGATACGTGGTGTTTTTGGAGGATTAGCCAGTTGGCTAAATCACCCAGTCACTGATAAACATAGATGGCAGCTATTTAAGGCTGCCACAAACGATTATTTTGATAGTCGACTAGTCACCGATTATCTTTGCAATTAGTCGACTAATCAGATCATCATCCATTGGACGTAAAACGTATAGATTATTGCACCAGCAGCATCTGCTCTTATATAACTATCATTAGCTTACAGCTTTAAGTGTTTCAGGTATGTGCTAAATAAAAATAAAGACAAGATGATAGTTTATTAAATTTTAATGAAATTTGCAGATTGTTTCGGTGAAGTTTAATAAACTCCTTGCTATCTAAAATATAACAGGACACCGGAGTAAATTCTCGAGCATCTCACACTTCTGATAATCAGCTGTCTGCTTGACGTTTATTCAGCTGTGTAAAAACTATAACTTTAATCTCAGCCAAACCGATTTACTCAGGAACAAATAAAATACCAATAAAAGCCAAACAATAACATTTTTAAGTTATCTAAGTGACTTATATATCATGTTTAACCTGAGTAGCGAAAGAGGCGGTGGGTTTGAAAACGATTTGCCGGGAGTCCGGTGTTCTCACGGCTCTAGTTAGCCTAGCCCCCGGCTAGCTATCGAGCTAGTGGGTAACAGACGTCTCCGAAAACGTCGGAGCGCTTTTGAAAATATGTGGTGTCTTGATAAACTGAGCAGATATTTGAGGTTTACACAGCTACATTCTCGCCTGAAAATATGTTAAACGTTTATTTTGTGACCCAGAAAGAATAATAAGAGTAATATTAAAACTAACTAGCTGCCGCCATTGTTGGAAACTGAGCTGGGCTGCGCTATGAATTCTGGGACACAGCTTCTTCTTCTTCTTCTTCGGGGTTTAACGGCAGCTGGCATCCTTGTACATGCAGTGCTGCCATCTTCTGTTTCAGTCCGTTATTACACTCTTAAATCCTACTACTTATTCCTGCGTCTTTTGTGATCTTACAAAGCTTCAAACGACGCGTCGACTATTAAATCAGTCTCAATTGCTCTAATTGCTTTGGCAGCTGTGGATTTGTGTACATGAGTGGAGTGGGAGTCCCACAAATGATAACCTGCTAATTTAGCTGAATGCTGCAGTAAACACACTCACCACTGCTAATAACCATCGTTTCTTTCTTTCTTTTAACAGTCACAGATGAAGACACGGTGAAGAGATACTACGCTAAGTTTGAGGAGAGGTTTTTCCAGACCTGTGAGAAGGAGCTTCTGAAAATCAATACTTTCTATTCAGGTATTTATTTACTTCACTTACTCTCGAGACAATAATTGGCGGAGATTATATTAAATCAAGTCGATTACAAGAGGCCGTCTCAGAAGAATAACTGAAGAAATTTCATGGTGGCAAATTTAGAAAAATCAATGTTAAGCAATATCGCCTTAACTTCATTTAAAAACAATACTTCCATCTTTGAACGAGCTCTGGAACTAATCACAAATCAATGCTTTAACCTGTCTTCTATAATCACATATTGCATGTAAATATGTAAAGACTCCTATCAGCTGTATCCTCATTTACTTCTTAGCATTTTTGCATAATTCACACTGTTTATTTACTCTGTGCTGAGTTCAGACATGGCCAGCGGTAGTCGCGTTGCAGAGCAGGCCTGCCTGTGTGTATTTCAGGAAGTGAAGCGGGGAATGTGTGCACTGTGTAACATGAGATGGAAGCCATAATATATTCTGTTATTCTGGTACCAGAAGGTCCTGAGCTCCACTCTGAGTGAAGTGATGTTATCTAACAGCAGACCGTGCTTCCCCTGGAGGCCGTTAATGAAACTGCAGACTTGCTGGGTCAACGGCCGGCCAAGGCTGACCGGGAAGATTGTCCCAGCTCGTAATGATGGGGTGTTTCTGGCAGACTGATGGCGAGAGCAGCAAACAGACGTGGTGTAAATCACTTTGGACCTCGTTACCATGAAGCTGAACCAACTTTGAATGTCTTGATTTTTCTCAGAGCGTTGCTGTTACCAGCATAAAGGCAGCTTATAGAGGAGGCCGCAGTGTCACGGTTTGATGAGAGAAATCATCATCAACATATTTAAATGACCACCAACCATCGTGACTTTTACTTTCTACAATAATGAGAGAAAACGCTACAAATTTTGAAACTTAAACTGCTGTTTGGGTTCAGTTCTGTTGTTTAAATGTGATGTCACCTATAAACAGAGACGCGTTACTGTAATCTGATTACTTTTTTAAAGTAACTAGTAAATTAAGGGATTACTATTGCAAAAACGGTAATTAGATTACCGTTACTTTCCCGTAGGAACGCTGCGTTACTGCGTTACTAAAACCGTGATTTTTTTTGCGAGAATGTCTCATGACAGTGACGTAAGCGAGTGCGACGTTCGTGACAACAGCTGTGTGCAGATCAACAATGGATCATATATCAAGTGCAGAGAGAGTATGAGCGTGCAGCGTTTAAAGCGTGGAAGTACTGACCTTACTTTGAGTTTGATTCCATAAAAAGTGACAAAAACATAGTGTCCGTTGTGCGTGGGAAGAAAACTTCTTTTTACAGCGAAAAAAACCCCTAAACTTCCGAGCAAGCACCGAGTAGCTACGACGTAATGGGAAACTCACAGAGAAACTCGCGGATTCTTCCACTGACCGCGGCACACCTGCACCAGGGTAACCCTCCGCCTACCCCACTCCTGCTTTACAGGTGAAAATAGAGCAACAGGACCGCTAGTCTTTGACTTTATTTATTTTCTGCTGTGTTTTACTTGCATCTATTTGAAAGACTGAGTGTAAACACACAAAATATTTTATTTTATGTGCTGGAATGTGCAGAAAATAGGTTTAAATGTTAAACTAATTTCTTCCAGTCAGAGAATGTTGCAGATAATTAAATGTTTGCTTGATGCATAAAGTTAAAAGATTAAAACTAATAAAACAAGTTTTAAAAAGAGACTTTTCCATTTGATTACATTTTGTATGATGATTATGCAGAAAAAGTAGAATTGGGCTGAAAGATCTATCACTTTATCACCTATTCAGGTTGTAAATCGTGTTTTTAAAAAGTAACTAAGTAACTAATTACTTTTGAAAATAAGTAATCAGTAAAGTAACGGGATTACTTTTTTGGGGAAATAATCAGTAATTAGTTACTGATTACTTTTTTCAAGTAACTTGACCAACACTGCCTATAAATAAAACACACATAGTGCAAGTCTGAGGTCTTTTTTTCTCGTTAAACAAGAAAAAAAGAATCATTTAATAAAACTGGGCTGCGAACAAACCTTAGAGGATAGAAAGTATCGATCGATCACGCTAGTATGCCCATATACTAATACCAGCGTTGGTATTGATACTATCAATATTTAGATTAATCTGCCTACCTCTACTTTATAATTGGCAGGTTGGTGCCTGTTGGTAGAGCTCAGTAGTGCCTTTTAAAAAACACAAAAATTGCATGTTACTGTCTGTCAGTGAAGGACTGAATAACGAATAACAGAAGAAAACAGTCATTTCTGTGTCATCGTCTCAGTGTGACATGAGTCACATCAGGGTTACAATAGTGAGTCAGTGAGTCCTCAGCAGCTCCGAGGTTGGTTAATGTTGTGCATGAAAACATCAACATCTCCTGTTTATCTTCCACACACAGGAGGAGATAAATTGCGTGCTGACTTTACATAAGACACTCGCCTCGACTGAGGGTCCCTGACCTCTCACAGCCATCCTGCTGCAAAGCGCTAGAGTCCAGTCTGTTGGACAACAACACTTTCATCATCGTGGATTAAATACACAACAAAAAGAAATGAAGAAATGCTGTTTGAGGCTGATAGGATTTCACCCTGTCACTTTCTGGAAGCTGAGAAAGAACAAAAGGTGTTTGAAATCACCGCCACAGTAAAGCCAACGCCGCTGAAACCTAAACCAACCAACACCTGTCCCCTTCAGCTTCATTAGCCCCACACAGATGAACTGTCCAGCCACATCTTCTGATGTGACGCTGCACTCTTGACCTCAAGGCAGTCTGACTTTCTCACGAGCATTAAACGGAGCGTTGGTTCGTATGCTTCTGTGCCTGCTGAGGGATTACTGCGAGTTTGGATGTCGAAGCAACGTTTTTGCTTTCCCACGAGGCACCGATGTGACATCGAATAGCATAAAGAGGAAAAATCTTTGTCGGGCGGGTTCCACTCTTGTGTAGAAAAAGAAATACTCAGGGTTGTAGTAATATACCCTGAAAACATTGTTTATGTCAACAAAGAAATTGTGTCATTCTACTTTTGGATTGACGAGCATGAGGATGTGATGGAAACCAGGCCACCAAGCTGCCATCTACGTGCAAACAATGATAAACAGATGTTAGCTTTACTTCTATTTTCAGTTTGAAAAAGAGTTTTATTCAAATACATTGAAGAAAATAAAGAAAACAGGAAGTTAAATGAGAAGAAACTGGCTTCTTTTATAAATGATTAGTTATTCTTTTTTTGAAACAGGTTGTTCCACAAACCAGCCGGATGCAGGAAAATGTATGTTTGCACACAAACAAGAAATACTACCATGTGAACGGAGCAGGAAACAGCAAAAAAAGGGGAAAAAGAGGGGCTGCAGGTGGCTTTGAAAAGAAGCTTGTAGGTTTGGGAGGACACCAAACACCGGCCCAAATGATTAGTTATTCTGATCTGTTTCGGGTGGCTGTGCTTCAGCATATAGAGCAGGTCATCTGCTAATCAGAAGGCTGGTGGTTCCCTGGGTACTCCGGTCTGCATCCCAAGTGTCCTTGAGCAAGTTGCTGAACCCCGAGTTGCTCAGGATGCATTCGACGTGCTGTGTACGCGAGACAGAAAGCAGACAAAGCGCCGTATAAGAACCAGTCGTTCAACATTTAAACAAAGAGCAGGAGGCAAATGAGAGCTGCTTGTTGGAAAAGTGAGTTAACTGCAGGAGAAGTTAATGAAATGCAGGTTGCTGTCCAAGCAGCGTGTGATTACCCCTCCTCTCTCATTCTGTCTCTCTGCCTGTATTAACCTGTCTCTGACCCACATAATGGTTCCTCAGTCTGCAGCATTCACAGGTCAGAGAGTCTCCATGCTTCTGCTTCCTGGAACAAGCAGAAATTAAGGATGCATAATCATTTTTATTGTCATTTGCTGCAGCAGTTTTTTGCATTTTAACATATCGAGGTTAAGCAGCAAATGACCAAAGTAAATGTTTATGCAAATGCAGGAAGAATATTAAGATTTCCAAAATAAAAGTCCAAGCAAACCAACAACCTGTTGTTTAACAGCTCCGCTGGGCTTATTAGTGCTTTTATTATTTTTGTATTACTCTAAACATCCTCTAAAATGTATAATATTCATTATAATATGTGCAAATACACAGTGGCTATAATAACAATCAACACGCTTAACAGTAGATAAAACTGGAAGTTGTGCTGTGCAAGTGTAAACATGTGTAAACGTGTGTGTCCACAGCACAGTGTGTGACATCCTTTCCTTGTCCGTCTGCAGAAAAGCTTGCCGAGGCCCAGAGACGATTTGCGACGCTGCAGAACGAGCTGCAGTCTTCACTGGACGCTCAGCGAGAGAGCAATGCTTCGCCCGGTCTGCGGAAACGCAAGACCAGGTTCCACCTGTCGCAGGAGGAGCGCTGCAAACACCACAACATCAAAGACCTGAAGCTAGCCTTCAGCGAGTTCTACCTCAGCCTCATCCTGCTTCAGAACTACCAGGTTTTTAGTGCATCTGCACACTCAGATCACGAGAGGTTGATCACACTACATATCCTTTCCAGTCTGGTGTGGTTTGTAGCTGCTGGTTTCTTCTTGTCTCCCACAGAACCTGAACTTCACTGGTTTCCGTAAGATCCTGAAGAAACATGACAAGATCCTGGATACGTCCCGCGGGGCGGACTGGCGTGTGGCTCATGTGGAGGTGGCACCTTTCTACACCTGCAAGAAGATCACACAGCTCATTACTGAGACGGAGGTGCCTGCCTGCCACACGTGGACTTTACTACATGTGTAGAAAAAACGAACATGTCTGAAACGAATGGTTGTTTTTGTATCCAGACCCTGGTGACCACAGAGCTGGAGGGAGGCGACCGTCAAAGGGCCATGAAGAGGCTGAGAGTTCCTCCTCTGGGGGCGGCTCAGGTCAGAATCACAGCTGATTACACTGGAAACACACCTGTTCATACACAATCAGCTATATGAGCAGGTGAAGGAAGTCACTCTGAACATGGCGTAGTTGTTTGTACCACACAGGCTAGGCTGAGTATTTCCAAAATTGCTGCTCTGCTGGGATTTTCCTGCACAGCCATGTGTAGAGTTTACTGATCTGATACTACAGATAATATCTGGGCTAAAATGCCTTGTTGATGTTAGAAATCGGAGGAGAATAGCCAGACTGCTTTGAGCTGACAGGCTGAAGGCAACAATAACACAACCAAGTTGTGCAGAAGAGCATCTCTGAGCACACATGCCAAACCCCGAAGCAGATGGCTACAGCGTAAGACCAGAACAGCTGCTGAGGTTAAAGTTCACACAGGCTCACAGCAACCAGACAAGACTGGGACTGCTGGACAGGATGTAAGGAGACGTGAAAGGATGGAGCCATGCTTGTATCCTCAGTTCAGGCTGGTGCTGGTGGTGTAGTAGTGTGGGGGTTACTATGGTAGCTCCAGCCTACCTGAGTATTCTTGCTGGCCATGTCCATCCCTTTATGGCCGCAGTGTCCTCATCTTCATGGCCTCCACAGTCACTGGATCTCCGTCCATCAGAGCACCGTTGGAATGTGATAGAACTGAATATAGACGGCAAATATGCATCAACTGTCGATATAGACCAAGATCTCTGAGGAATGTTTCCAGACCCTGTTGCGTCTAGTCTTAAATAATTAAGGCAGTTCAATAAAGAGAGATCGTTTAGAAAAACTGAACATTATTTATTGACTTAAGGGATTTGATTTTCTGAGCTCTCCAATGAACCATCATAGCAGAGTCGCAGCAACAACAGTGATTAGAACAGGATCCCCAGAGAGTCGATGCTGAAGGTGAAGTTGGAGGTTAGGACAGGTGGACCAGGGTAGCACGAACGAGAGTCCAGATGGCAGAAGATCAGTGATGTTTACAGAACAGAGACTGAAGATGGGGCAAGAAAGTAATCAAACCAGAGTAATAATGTCAGTGTTGAGTTTGTGGACGTGAAGAATAGACTAACAGCCTGAATTTCAAGGAAAGCAGGTCAATCAGTGATTATTTATTATTATTATTATTATTAACCTTTATTTAACCAGGAAAGTCCCACTGAGGTTAAAAACCTCTTTTTCAAGGGAGACCTGGCCAAGATAGGCAGCAGCAGGTGTCTCACAGGCAGCAACAACACACATCCAACAATAAGTGAAAGAATACAAATAAAATAAAATTCAAATAAAATAAATAAATAAATTTAAAAAATCAGTTAAAATGACAATCAATCTCATTGAAACAGTTGCATGTTATGGACTTGGCTTCAAGGATTTGTAGTTTAGATTTAAAAGCACTTAATGAAATGAATTCAGTCATTTTCCTTCTGCAGTTTGTTCCAAGCCGACGGTGCTAAACGGACAAAAGCTCTTTTACCAAGTTCAGTTCGGGCAAATGGAGCAGAAAGCAACAAGTAACCATGCGGACGAAGAGGATACGACCAGCATGTTTCATTACAAGCAGGGAACATAGATAAGAAGGCAGCAACCCAAGTATCGCCTTCTATATAAAACTGTATAAATGAGAGATCATCATCAATTATAGATCATCTTTATTGAACTTGGACAGAAGCTTCATTACTTAAGTCAAACGTTGCTGCTGAATGTGCTTCTCATACTTAAACCTCCCCTGTTCTGTAACTGTGCTGCTGCAGATGAAGAACAAATGTTGAAATGCTTGCTGAAGAATATCCCAGCATGCAATATTTTTGCATTTGTCTAACTATAAAAAAAATACAATTAAAAGCAAAACACTCCAGTTTTTAGAAGCAAGAGAAATAAAGCCAGCAGGGTGAAAAAGGCAAAGGAAACCATCCGAGCCTTCAGTATTGATTTTATAAGTGCCTCGACTCTGTTGAACAGACGGGATATCATTCAGGGGAAAAACAAGCTCTCCAATGCATCTTTTGCTCCGGCATTAATTACTGTCACGTCTGGTTTAAAGTGTGTAACATGTGAGCTCTGTATGCATGTGTGTGATGAATATATTTATGCTTACAAGCAGGTAAAAGGAATGAAATTGGTTTAGAGTCTGTGACTCATCGCTGCGTGACGTTTTGTCTGAATGACACCACATGAATGCTCGGCGTCTTTGGACGTGTTGGTGCGAGTCGTCACATTAATCCAGTTTATTCCCGTCTGCCTGGTTCAGCCCGCTTTGGCCTGGACGACCTTTCGCGTGGGTCTCTACTGCGGCTTCTTCATCATTCTCGCCATCTGCTTCGTTATCACTGGTAAGTCTAAGTTACTGTTTTCACCGGCGTCGTAGTTCATCTTTATGAAGCAGTAAACATGCTGTGGTTTGTTCAGGTGCCGTGTTCTTCCGCTCGGAGAACGTCTGGCCTATGGTGCGCATCTATCGGGGCGGTTTCCTGTTGATCCAGTTCCTCTTCCTGTTGGGCATCAACACCTATGGATGGAGACAGGCTGGAGTCAACCACGTGCTCATCTTTGAGATCAATCCACGAAACAACCTCTCACACCAACACCTGTTTGAGGTGAGAAAAAAGATGTTTCGTCTTATAGAAGATCCTGGAAAATTGAATTTATTCAGATTTTTGGGTTAATGGTGATCATGTGTCTTTTAATGCCATTTTTCCTTCCTGTGCTGCAGATTGCTGGTTTCCTGGGCGTGTTGTGGTGTCTCAGCATCCTCTCCTGTCTCTACTCGCAGTACACTTACATCCCCATGCAGGCCAACCCTCTCATCCTTTACGGCTTCATGGTGCTCTTCCTCATCAACCCCTTCAAGACCTGCTACTACAAATCACGTTTCTGGCTCCTCAAACTGCTGGTCGGTTAACTCGTTTACTGGAAATGCTCCTTTAATGTAACTAGTCCATGCCCATGCTAGAGTATTGCACACTGATATGCTTAATCACAATGAGAAAAGTAAACAAATAGGGGTGAGAGATGATGTTTATATGCCTGAAAGGGTCATTTTAGCCTGTTGCTAGGTGGTTTGTGGGCAGGTACGATTCAAATTTTGTGGAAATAAATGAGATGCGATTGTTAGGAAACTTAAATGATAGACTGCTTTCATAAGGTGTTGTAGGTTTGGAAAGGCAAAAAACAGCTCCAGGTTGCTAAGTGGTTGCCAGGGTCTGTGATGACATCACTATATACAGCTCAAAAAAAAGCTAAAGTATAAATCAGAGTTTAGTATCAAGTCAATTAAACCCGTGGGCATCGATCTAGTCACTTAAGTAGCAGAGGTTGTTAATAAGGCTACGTTCACTCTGCAGGTCTTGATGCTCAATTC